ACCCCGGGGAGCCGCTTGGCTCTTTCCTGGTCGGATTCTATCGCCTCCTCCTCACACGCTCACCCACCAGCAGGAACCACACGGCAGCTTCGTGCAAGCCCAGTGGACCTAGTATGTATACTTTTGTCAGCACTGGGATTTGAACCCAGGGCCTGAAGTTTGCTTGGCTGGCACTCTACCACTTCAGCTTTGCCTCCAGCCCAGGTTTGCTGGTTATTTTGGAGATGGCATCTCACAAACTTTTCTGCCTGAGCTAGCTCCACACTGGCATCCTCCAGCTCTTCTCCCTCTGAGTAGTTAAGAATGTAAGTGAGCCAATGGCGCTCACTGGCTAGCAGTGTTTCTAGAGAACACCATCCTAGTGTTTAGTCAACCATAAACCTTGGTGGGCAGAAGTGAGAAAGAACAAAGCTAAATGGAAGAGTTACCAGAACTCAGGCAACACTACAGGAGGGGTCTGTGTGGGGTGGGGGAGGGTGTGGGTCTCTGGTGGGGGAGGAGGGGTGGTCCCGAGGGGCTGCCCCGGCGGGCTTCAAGTAACCAGAAAACTCCACACAGGGGCAGCCACACACACAGAAGCCTCCTCTCCCACGCCAGACCGGGACTGCGGGAGCGTGGGCTATGTGGAGGCTGACGCATGAAGCCCCCTGGTCCTCCCAGCCCCCGGTCCTCCCAGCCCCTGGTCCTCCCCCCCATCCTCCCAGCCCCTTCTCCCCCCAGCCCCTGGTCCTCCCAGCCCCTGGTCCTCCCCCCGCCCCGGTCCTCCCCCCGCCCCGGTCCTCCCCACCCCCCCGGTCCTCCCAGCCCCCTCTCCTCCCAGCCCCTGGTCCTCCCAGCCCCCCCCCCATCCTCCCAGCCCCTGGTCCTCCCAGCCCCTGGTCCTCCCAGCCCCAAGTCCTCCCAGCCCCTGGTCTTCCCAGCCCCTTCTCCCCCCAGCCCCTGGTCCTCCCAGCCCCTGGTCCTCCCAGCCCCTGGTCCTCCCCCCGCCCCGGTCCTCCCCCCGCCCCGGTCCTCCCCACCCCCCCCGGTCCTCCCAGCCCCTTCTCTTCCCAGCCCCTGGTCCTCCCAGCCCCTGGTCCCCCCCCCCGCCATCTTCCCGGCCCCTTTCTCCTATACACTATGCTGAAGCTTCAGCTCGATCATAACACTTGTATTCTGGGGGCAGAAAAGAGGAGGAGAAATGAGAAGGGCCAAGTGTAGATGAAAAGTAGCCTGAGAAGTGTGGATTTTCCTCAGAGTATGACCTTGTGTTCTCCCACTGGTCAGGGAGAAAGGTGGGGGGGCAGGGGAGGGGCACTGGGGAGCAGCGTCGGCACACTCTGGGGGAGGGACAGCTGGATGGGGCCCGTCTGCAGCACCAGGGCAGTGGTCCCGAGCGATGCCCTGCTGGCTCCTCCCGCTCTCCTCTCCCTTCTGATGACAGGGGCCCTGTGGCACGCCACGCCCGCCTTCCCTGTGTTCCTGGATCCTCTCCCCGAGGACGCACTGCCCCCAGCCAGGCCAGAATCAGAAACAAGTTTTTAGAGAACGGATCTTCTGCCACCAGCTGAGAACACAAGTATTTCTTCCCTCTTGCTGCAATTGAGCAACTGCCCGTGGAGGCCAGAGCTGCACATTGAGTATCTGCCGTGGAGGCCAGAGCTGCACATTGAGCACCTGCCGTGGAGTCCAGAGCTGCACATTGAGCATCTGCCGTGGAGGCCAGAGCTGCACATTGAGCACCTGCCGTGGAGTCCAGAGCTGCACATTGAGCATCTGCCGTGGAGGCCAGAGCTGCACATTGAGCACCTGCCGTGGAGGCCAGAGCTGCACATTGAGCACCTGCCGTGGAGGCCAGAGCTGCACATTGAGTATCTGCCCGTGAGGCCAGAGCTGCACATTGAGCATCTGCCGTGGAGTCCAGAGCTGCACATTGAGTATCTGCCGTGGAGTCCAGAGCTGCACATTGAGTATCTGCCCGTGAGGCCAGAGCTGCACATTGAGTATCTGCCGTGGAGTCCAGAGCTGCACATTGAGCATCTGCCGTGGAGGCCAGAGCTGCACATTGAGCATCTGCCCGTGAGGCCAGAGCTGCACATTGAGCATCTGCCGTGGAGGCCAGAGCTGCACATTGAGCACCTGCCGTGGAGTCCAGAGCGCACGCTGCACAGGCCTGGGGGTGTGGAGGGCGGAACACTCTCATCCTCACACAACACGCTAGCAAGACAGAGCTACGCAGAACCCAGGGCCGCAGGGGACTCGGAAAGAGGGGCTCACCCGCAGCAGGACCCCGGGTTCTCCTGTGACCCCTACATGGGCAGCAGGACCCCGGTTTCCCCCGTGTCCCTGACACCAGCAGCAGGACCCCGGGTTCTCGGCTGGGGATTCAGAGCCCTGTCCTCTGGCGGCGGCAGGACACTGTAGACCGTGGTGGATGGTGGGGCGCTGCCGCGGGGAACGCACCCTGTGCGCCCATGCTGGCCTCTCCCGCTGGAACACAGAACCACCCCCAGTGCCACTCTGTTCCACAAACCGGGGACACAGACTCCTGGAGCACAGGAGCCCGCACGCGCTCCGCCTCTTCTTCACGGGGCGGGTGGTGGCGGTGGCGGTGGCGGAGGAGAGATCGGCACAGCACCAAGCAACCTCCACACCGTTCTCTCCAGTGGCCACCCTGTCCCTTGGATCACATACAGGACAAACCGGACAGGTGTAGCTGAGCTAGGAGTGGAAGGCAGGCTGCGGGTGTCGGGGTCACAGGAATCTGGGGTTCTACTACAGAATTTAGGGGTCACAGGGAATGTGAGGTGTAGGGTGCCCTGTTAGCTGCTGCGCTGTCCGGGGTGGGAGGGTCTGTGCCTCTGACTTCCTCGCTGAAGGTCACTAGAGACCAACCCGACACACACACACACCCCTCAGATTAGTGGAGAGCCCGTTCCCATGGCAACCTGTGGACAAGCGCATCCTGCAATTGGCATTAATTTATTTTCCCCAGCCTCCTTGGAGTCAGTTCCCTGAAACACAGGGTCTGCCAGCTCTAATCTGCGCCGCCTTTGAAATTCCACCGGCGTGAGTAGGAGCCCAGAGAAGCTGGCAGGCCTGTGTTTACCAATTAGTTTTTTTATGATGCAAATGCTGCACACCATGCGGCAGGAATAAAAGCCAGCGCTGCTGAATATGAAACTGTTAATTGCATTTTCAGAGACACAGCTACAAGGTGAGACTAATCGTACAAATGATAACTGGGCTTTGCCACCTACAGGGTTGCTATCACTCTTGTGGTGATCTGTATTAAAACAGTCCCTGTCCATCTTTGCAGAAAAGGAAAACACATTTGGTACAGCCATCCCATCCTAAAGAGAAAAGCAGGTATGCAAGTGGGAAACAATATAAAGGATCATTTTAATTCCAATCAGATCAAGAATGTGGACGTGCACCAAGGCGAAGGCCAGGGTGATGCTCCTTGAAGCACGTTTTTGCCGTAGAATCGCAGAGCTGAGCTTGCACACGACCAGCACCAGCCCAGCACTTTCCAACGAGTGTGGCTCAGAAGGAAGGAGCTGGTTCAGAAGAAAGGCCCATGAGGATTCCCCTAGCTGCCCCACCCCGGTGGGAACAGCATAGCCCCCCCGGAATCTCTGAAGAGAGGCTTTGGAGGGCTTCCAGCTAGCAGGGAACCCAGGAGGGAGGCCAGGTGCCCAAGACACAGGCATGGCCTTGGCCTGTGCCATTCTGTGCTCAGAAGTTGCCACAGGACCCAGAGGCACCTGCAAGCCCTGGTCTGAGTGTCCATGCGGAGCAAGAATGCGTGTGTCCAGGTGATAGGGTTGGATTTGGGACTTACATCCCTATAGGAACTTGGCCCCGTGTGGTGGCTCGTGCCCATAATCCATAGCCCCAGGCGGTGGGAGGCAAGGGAGCTGAGCTGGCTGGGATCTGCCTTGGTCTCCCAGCCGCCCACGGAGTGGCTTTGGGCTGTGGTCTCCCTGGTGGGCGGGTGCAGCCCCCGGCCAGCGGAAGCTGCATGGGGCCCAGGCTGCCTGCTTCACGGTAGAATGTGTTTTGTCACCAACATGTTTCGACTATTCTTTCTAATACGCAAACATTTGCTAAGTTACTGGGAATTACAACCGAACCTATCTGGATTGGCATACGCCAGGAGAAAGAAGGAAGCTTGCACGGAAGAAGCCCCGTCCAGCGCGCCTTCTCAGGAGGGGAGAAAGGAGGCGCAAGAGAGGCCTGCAGGAGTGGCTCCGGCACCCCGCGTCTCCGCCGAAAAGCCCGCTTCATTCTGCCATTGCTGCGTCTTTAGTATCTTTCTTCTAGAAGATTAGGGAGTCAGAGAGTGATCTCAAGTCCTATTTCGCAGCCGAACTTCCCTGGAGGGCTCTGGGGGACGCTGTGGGACACTCGCGTGTCTCCTTGCTGCCACACCCAGCTCGGGGCGCCGCCCCCCCCTCCCCTCCCCACGGGACACGAGATGGCCCAGCCACACGGAGCCTTCTGCAGACCTCTCACCCTGTGCTCCAGGTCCAGGCAGGCACCCACTCTCCTCAGCACAGGCTGAGCCACGGCATCAAGGGGCCTGGCCAGCTCTGCCGTTCCCTCCCTCAGCATCATTGCTGTCAATGACCCACACGCAGCGCCTTCCACGTCAACGATGCTTCTGACTTCGCCTCCAACACTAGCCTCCAACACAGCCGCACAACCTCGTGGGCCCCACGTGCGGGCATCACCAGCCACTAACCTACAGTGGTTTTGGAAGGCACCTGCACTGAGCATGTCAGATTAATTATTCCCTGAATTATACAGCATTTACCCTGAATTGGGTGACTCACAGCCATACAGGGTGTATGCACAGGTCCCGGCGTGCGCTGGTCCTTATGTAAAGGATTGAGCAGGGTCAGCTCCCGTGAGTGGCCGTGCACAGAGCATGAGGGCACTGCAGGGCCCCTGGGGGTGAGCAGCCTCCGGACAGGCCTGGAGGGCTTCCTGCAGAGAGAGCTTCCCGAGCCGAGCGCTCAGAGGTGAGGGGAGGCAGGATCTGGAGCCTGGTGAGGGTCGGCGGTGGCCCTGGAGCCTGGTGAGGGGCAGGGGTGGCCCTGGAGCCGGGTGAGGGGCGGCAGTGGCTCTGGAGCTGGGGTGAGGGGCGGCGGTGGCTCTGAAGCTGGGGTGAGGGGTGGCGGTGGCTCTGGAGCCTGGTGAGGGGCGGCAGTGGCTCTGGAGCTGGGGTGAGGGGCGGCAGTGGCTCTGGAGCCTGGTGAGGGGCGGCAGTGGCTCTGGAGCTGGGGTGAGGGGCGGCAGTGGCTCTGGAGCTGGGGTGAGGGGCGGGGATGGCCCTGGAGCCTGGTGAGGGGTGGCAGTGGCTCTGGAGCATGGTGAGGGGCGGGGATGGCTCTGGAGCCGGGGTGAGGGGCGGCGGTGGCTCTGGAGCTGGGGTGAGGGGCGGCGGTGGCCCTGGAGCCTGGTGAGGGGCGGCAGTGGCTCTGGAGCCTGGTGAGGGGCGGGGATGGCTCTGGAGCCGGGGTGAGGGGCGGCGGTGGCCCTGGAGCCGGGGTGAGGGGCGGCGGTGGCCCTGGAGCCTGGTGAGGGGCGGCGGTGGCCCTGGAGCCTGGTGAGGGGCGGCGGTGGCCCTGGAGCCTGGTGAGGGGCGGCGGTGGCCCTGGAGCCTGGTGAGGGGCGGCGGTGGCCCTGGAGCCTGGTGAGGGGCGGCGGTGGCCCTGGAGCCTGGTGAGGGGCGGGGATGGCCCTGGAGCCTGGTGAGGGGCGGCGGTGGCCCTGGAGCCTGGTGAGGGGCGGCGGTGGCTCTGGAGCCGGGGTGAGGGGCGGCGGTGGCTCTGGAGCCGGGGTGAGGGGCGGCGGTGGCTCTGGAGCCGGGGTGAGGGGCGGCGGTGGCTCTGGAGCCGGGGTGAGGGGCGGCGGTGGCTCTGGAGCCGGGGTGAGGGGCGGGGATGGCCCTGGAGCCTGGTGAGGGGCGGCGGTGGCCCTGGAGCCGGGGTGAGGGGCGGCGGTGGCCCTGGAGCCTGGTGAGGGGCGGCGGTGGCCCTGGAGCCTGGTGAGGGGTGGCGGTGGCCCTGGAGCCTGGTGAGGGGCGGCGGTGGCCCTGGAGCCTGGTGAGGGGAGGGGATGGCCCTGGAGCCTGGTGAGGGGCGGCGGTGGCTCTGGAGCCTGGTGAGGGGCGGCGGTGGCCCTGGAGCCTGGTGAGGGGCAGGGATGGCTCTGGAGCCTGGTGAGGGGCGGCGGTGGCCCTGGAGCCTGGTGAGGGGCGGCGGTGGCTCTGGAGCCGGGGTGAGGGGCGGCGGTGGCCCTGGAGCCGGGGTGAGGGGCGGCGGTGGCCCTGGAGCCTGGTGAGGGGCGGCGGTGGCCCTGGAGCCTGGTGAGGGGTGGCGGTGGCCCTGGAGCCTGGTGAGGGGCGGCGGTGGCCCTGGAGCCTGGTGAGGGGAGGGGATGGCCCTGGAGCCTGGTGAGGGGCGGCGGTGGCTCTGGAGCCTGGTGAGGGGCGGCGGTGGCCCTGGAGCCTGGTGAGGGGCAGGGATGGCTCTGGAGCCTGGTGAGGGGCGGCGGTGGCCCTGGAGCCTGGTGAGGGGCGGCGGTGGCTCTGGAGCCGGGGTGAGGGGCGGCGGTGGCCCTGGAGCCTGGTGAGGGGCGGCGGTGGCTCTGGAGCCGGGGTGAGGGGCGGCGGTGGCCCTGGAGCCTGGTGAGGGGCGGTGGTGGCTCTGGAGCCGGGGTGAGGGGCGGCGGTGGCCCTGGAGCCTGGTGAGGGGCGGCGGTGGCTCTGGAGCCGGGGTGAGGGGCGGCGGTGGCTCTGGAGCCTGGTGAGGGGCGGCGGTGGCCCTGGAGCCGGGGTGAGGGGCGGCGGTGGCTCTGGAGCCGGGGTGAGGGGCGGCGGTGGCTCTGGAGCCTGGTGAGGGGCGGCGGTGGCTCTGGAGCCGGGGTGAGGGGCGGCGGTGGCTCTGGAGCTGTCTTCAGTGCCTAACCCACTGGAAGAGCTAGGAAATACATGGCTAACGAGGTCTCCTCCAGCTAGCCGAGCTCAAGATTGTGTTAGAAACACTCACAGAAGTGAAGCCTATTTTGCTGGCACTGGCCTCTGAGGACGGATGCCAGGCAAGGGGATGCATCCCTCTGCCCGCCGTGGCCTGGCAACGGTGCTGCCCTCCCCCGCCCCCCGCCAGGCCCACCCCGTGGAACTCTCCACGGCAGCGGCATCCCTCCGACTCCGGCAGCCTCCCGGGGTTCTCAGCGGCTTCTCTGCTTCCCTGGCTGCTGCTCTGCTCAGTCCCACCAGCTTCTCAGGGAGTGCCACATCTGTGGCTCTTCTCTGACTGCCCCGAACGTGTGGTGGGCATCCTCTGGTTTTAGGCTTTTTGAATCCCTGTGTTTGTTTGCTAGAACAAGGCAAGTATTAAGGAAGAGCAGATGCCATTCAAGCCACAGAAATTATAATGGAAAACAAGTTCAAAAGTGTTGAGTGAAAAAAAGTAAGAATACAAGAGGTGGAAAAATAAAACTGAGATAATGTTATAACATGTTTCTAATTCAGGAAAAAAAGCAGGAAACCTAACATCAGTGAGTGTGTGCACGTGTGTGTGAGTGTGTGCGTGAGTGTGTGCATGTGTGTGCATGTGTGTGAGGGGGAGGGTGCGGAGGAGGGGGTGTTAGAATGCCCTGCAGGAAACCCAGACCGCAGCCGCGTGTAATCAGCACAGAACATGCCTCCCCTAAGGGAACTCACAACCGCTGGCCGCCCAGGCCACACAGCTCCCTCCCAAGGCAAAGCAAGGAACCCAGAGCCACCGGCCCTGAGGCTTGGACTCCAGGCTTCCGGCTGTGAGAACAAAGATTTGTGGTCTGGGCTGCCCCTGCTCAGTTAACGGTATTCTACCCCGTCCAGAAAACGTAATGCATAGAACTTTATACAAAGTCGGTGGCTGTTCTTGTGCCAGAACCCACCTGCTTCCGCTCTGGTGAGTCTTAAAGCAAGAATACAGAGAAAGGGCTCGGCAGGGAAATCACCCGCACCTCGCCCGGAGGGCAGGGCCCTGGCGGGTGGCGGAGCTGTCTGGGCACCCCCTGTAAAAGGGCCCTGCCACTTGCGCCTCCTCTAAAATGTCGTGAGGGAATGGATTCGGGATGGCCAGGACAGGAAGGCAGACCTGCAGGACATTCTCACTTCCACTCCTCGATCTCCCCATGCTGCTTCAGATTTTCCCACCCCAAATGCACACTCCCATCCCCAAAGCCTTTGGCGAATAGACTTCAGTAACCCATCACCCAAAACCCGAGTCAGCCTCCCAGCTCAATCCCAGAACCCACCACAGAAGGTCTGACTAGGGCTCCGGAGCCCACCCCGCAGCAGTGCTGGCTCAATCACCATCTGTAAGGGTGCTTTTGGCTTTCAGTGGCACTGCCAAGCATAGGACGCCTGGCTTATAATCACGCAGCTCCGATCCGAAGGCCTCCTCAGGTGGAGGCTCTAAGAGGAGCAGAATGCATCTGTCCACTGCCCTGGTTGGAGTACTGCCAACAGCAAGAAGGAAATCGGAAAGAGGCCTGGATTCAGTGACTCAGCGCTGGGGTAAGAGAGCTGCCCTCCACCCTGTCTACCTCACAGGCCAGGAGCGCACGGATTGCAAGGGCAGCGGTCCCCCAGGCGCGTTCTCACCGGCCTCCAACAGAAGCAGCCAGGCATGGGGCCATGCTCACGGCTCGCGCCCGGAGGAGGGCCGATGGCAGCACAAGGCCGCCGGGCACCCGTGCAAGACCCCTTCTCAGCCGGTCATGCTGGCTGCCTGAAGGCTGAACCAGGGCAGACCACGGGCCCAGGCCAGGACGGGCAGAAAGATTTATGAGACTCTATCTCATGGAAAAAGACTGGGTATGGTGGAGTGCACCGGTCATCAGCTAGAAAGGAAAACCCAAAATAGGCCAGTCACCATCCAGATACATGCCTGGCCAGGGAGCAAGACCTTACATCAAAAGTCACCAGTCTGGAGGCATAGCTCAGCAGGAGAGTGGCTGCGTAGCAAGTGCAAGGCCTGAGTTCCAGCCCCTGGACTGAAAAAAATAAAAGGTCCAACTGTACCCAGCTGGAGGGTGATGCACGTAGTCACCGCCATCAGAGCATTTCCTTCATCACAAAGCCAGGGCGTCTGGACACCTCTCTGCTGGGATTGGCTGGTCAGAGCCACAGACATCCAGTCAGTCCACCCCAGGAAGCAGATCGACCAAGACACAGCGCCACCCCAGCCATCCACCCAACGAGAATACAGGCACTTAAAAGTTATAAAGAAAAGATGCCAAAAGATCATCAATAGATCATGAAGAGGCTCCTGAGACTCGAGCCGGATTCTTGGGCACAGGGGACGGCATGTCCTTTGTGGCCATACTGACATCAGATCACCTTCTGGGTTCCATTTGCCCCACGCAGTGCCAGCAACTCCTCCCCATTCCAGAGGTGGTCAGAACGGGAGATGACCCACAGAGCTGGTGCGTGGAGCAAAGCCTGGCATTCCCAGGATGAACAGCTCACAGAGGAGGCCAGAGCTGCGGCGTCCTGGGGAGACCCCAGCTGCTCTGAGTATTCCCCAGGTTCTGCCCACTGTTCCTTCCATTTCTGCTACTGAACACAGAAAAGGAAGAATCATACATACTGGTACCTTAAAATTTTATTTTAGTTAAAAAAGAAACAAAGATCTTGTTGGGTCCAAGGACTGAGGCATCCTGAGTTCTGCTGGTACCTCGGTCTTTACAATAGTCAGAATCAAGTTTCTACAACAGCCAGAACCAAGCTCTATAACAACCAGAATCAAGCTTCTGCAACTGTCAGAACCAAGTTTCTACAATGAGAATCAAGCTTCTACAACTGTCAGAACCAAGCTTTTACAACAGCCGGAACCAAGCCCTACAGCAGCCAGAACCAAGCTTCTACAACAGTCAGAACCAGGCTTCTACAACAGCCAGAACCAAGTTTCTACAACAGCCAGAACCAAGCTTCTACAACAGTCAGAACCAGGCTTCTACAACAGCCAGAACCAAGCTTCTGCAACAGTCAGACCCAAGCTTCTACAATAGCCAGAACTAAGCTCTATAACAACCAGAATCAAGCTTCTACAACAGTCAGAACCAAGCTCTACAACAACTGGAACCAAACTTCTACAACAGCCTGAACCAAGCTTCTATAACAGCCGGAATCAAGCTTCTGCAATAGTTAGAATCAAGCTTCTACAACAGCCTGAACCAAGCTCTACAATAGCCAGAATCAAGTTTCTACAACAGCCAGAATCAAGCTTCTAAAACAACCAGAACCAAACTCTATAACAGCCTGAATCAAGCTGTTACAACAGCTGGACTCAAGCCTCTACAATGGCCAGAATCAAATTCTACAACAGTCAGAACCCTCTTTCCATGGCGATGGTACCTAAAGGAGCAGCTTCTGTTCTTATGCGCCTGGCCACATGCAAAGCCAGAGCCAAGACTGTGCAGCTCTGTTCATAGGAGGAATTGCTGTGTGTCAGGAGCCAAGGCAGGCTGAGGCGAGCACTGGGGACAGGCAGGCTGGGGTGAGCACTGGGGACAGGCAGGCTGGGGACAGGCAGGCTGGGGTGAGCACTGGGGACAGGCAGGCTGGGGCGAGCACTGGGGACAGGCAGGCTGGGGTGAGCACTGGGGACAGGCAGGCTGGGGACAGGCAGGCTGGGGACAGGCAGGCTGGGGACAGGCAGGCTGGGGACAGGCAGGCTGGGGTGGGCACTGGGGACAGGCAGGCTGGGGTGGGCACTGGGGACAGGCAGGCTGAGGTGGGCACTGGGGACAGGCACTGGGGACAGGCAGGCTGGGGACAGGCAGGCTGGGGCGGGCACTGGGGACAGGCACTGGGGACAGGCAGGCTGGGGACAGGCAGGCTGGGGACAGGCAGGCTGGGGACAGGCAGGCTGGGGTGGGCACTGGGGACAGGCAGGCTGGGGCGAGCACTGGGGACAGGCAGGCTGGGGCGAGCACTGGGGACAGGCAGGCTGGGGACGGGCAGGCTGGGGACAGGCAGGCTGGGGTGGGCACTGGGGACAGGCAGGCTGAGGTGGGCACTGGGGACAGGCAGGCTGGGGCGGGCACTGGGGACAGGCACTGGGGACAGGCAGGCTGGGGACAGGCAGGCTGGGGACAGGCAGGCTGGGGACAGGCAGGCTGGGGTGGGCACTGGGGACAGGCAGGCTGGGGTGGGCACTGGGGACAGGCAGGCTGGGGACAGGCAGGCTGGGGTGGGCACTGGGGACAGGCAGGCTGGGGACAGGCAGGCTGGGGACAGGCAGGCTGGGGACAGGCAGGCTGGGGTGGGCACTGGGGACAGGCAGGCTGGGGCGGGCACTGGGGACAGGCACTGGGGACAGGCAGGCTGGGGACAGGCAGGCTGGGGACAGGCAGGCTGGGGTGGGCACTGGGGACAGGCAGGCTGGGGTGGGCACTGGGGACAGGCAGGCTGGGGACAGGCAGGCTGGGGTGAGCACTGGGGACAGGCAGGCTGGGGGTGGGCACTGGGGACAGGCAGGCTGGGGCGGGCACTGGGGACAGGCAGGCTGGGGTGAGCACTGGGGACAGGCAGGCTGGGGGTGGGCACTGGGGACAGGCAGGCTGGGGTGGGCACTGGGGACAGGCAGGCTGGGGACAGGCAGGCTGGGGACAGGCAGGCTGGGGGTGGGCACTGGGGACAGGCAGGCTGGGGTGAGCATTGGGGACAGGCAGGCTGGGGGTGGGCACTGGGGACAGGCAGGCTGGGGTAGGCACTGGGGACAGGCAGGCTGGGGACAGGCAGGCTGGGGACAGGCAGGCTGGGGTGAGCACTGGGGACAGGCAGGCTGGGGTGAGCACTGGGGACAGGCAGGCTGGGGGTGGGCACTGGGGACAGGCAGGCTGGGGTGGGCACTGGGGACAGGCAGGCTGGGGTGGGCACTGGGGACAGGCAGGCTGGGGACAGGCAGGCTGGGGACAGGCAGGCTGGGGCGAGCACTGGGGACAGGCAGGCTGGGGACAGGCAGGCTGGGGACAGGCAGGCTGGGGACAGGCAGGCTGGGGACAGGCAGGCTGGGGCAAGCACTGGGGACAGGCAGGCTGGGGACAGGCAGGCTCGGGTGGGCACTGGGGACAAAGATGGGTGCAGGTCAGCTCAGCAGCTATCTGTTATCTGTTATCTGCCCTACCATTCCATGTAAGATAAGAACATGTTTCACGGCTCAGGCGTGAGCCAGGCCTGGGCAGGGTTCTGTCCTCAGCGGTGCCCTGAGAGACAAGGTGAGCCCAACCTCCAGCCCCAGGCCCCACCCCAGGAGACGGCTGGGCTTTCAGACACTGTGCTGCACCAGGGAGGCCTGGCCCCTTGTGTGGAGCCCCTGGGGATGCTGGGGCTCACCCCAGCAGCAGCAAGCCCTCAGAGCCATGCACACACGCATGTTTGCATCTCTCTTCTCAGCAGTAAGAATTAGAAGCAGAAACATGAAAATTGAACAAAAACTGAAACACTTAGCAGGATCTGCTGTGTGGAGGTAATTGACACTGGATCAGAAAGCAAGCCCCTGGAAAGGAGCAGCCTGCGGATTAGCGCCCAGCAGCCGTTCAAATCCAGAGCTGGATGTGCTCCTCAGTTTATTTCCTATTGTATAGGTCTTAGTTTTGCTTCCAATTCCTTTTGTAAGGGAGGCAGCGGTTGTGACTGGCAGTCAGTGGCGGCCTCAAAGGCATCTCCCGTGAAGAGAGGCCGCAAGTGCCGATACCACGGCTGTCACAGTGCAGACAGAGTCCACGGGGCTGGGCTGCAGGCGAAGGAGCGGGCAGCTGCAGTGCTTATCATTACTTAAACTTAGTGGCTTCATCTAGAGTGGGTGTCTATTCAGGGGAAATTGAAGAACTCTATCCCTGCTATTGATCTGTTCCCAGAATATGAGTTATCAGGTAAATTGCCAGGGCCTTGCACACAGACATGCACAGAATTCAGGGGGCGGCCGTCTTCACTGGCCAGGTGTGGCTCGGGGGGGGGGCACAGGAGGTGGCACCGGCCTTCCTGCCCACAGGATGCCCACAGGCTGGCAGAACCGTCTCAGGCCAGTTCTGCCCAACGACAAAGGACCCTGGCACACTCGCTATTGACAGGAATTCTGTTGTTCTTTACTCAGGTATTTACAAACATAAACCTCGGAAATCCTTACACTCACAGTCCTGATAAGTCTCACGCTGCCAGCTGTAGACGGAACATGACAAGGTATAAAGCTCCTGTGCTCAGCACCCACCACAAGTCAGCTGCCGTGGGGTGCTGTGTCTTTGTTATGGAGTCTTCCCATGGAGGCCTTCATGGGACCCTGCCCAGCCCTGCCCACTCAGCCCTGGGGACGCCGCGGGATCCCGCGGGGGTCTCAGCCCCGGGGAAACCGTGGGATCCACGGAGGTCTCAGCCCCTGGGGAAACCGCAGGATTCTCAGCCCTGGGGACGCCGCGGGATCCCGCGGAGGTCTCAGCCCCTGGGGAAACCGCAGGATTCTCAGCCCTGGGGACACCGCTGGATCCCGCGGAGGTCTCAGCCCCTGGGAAACCGTGGGATCCTGCAGAGGTCTCAGCCCCTGGAGAAACTGCAGGATTCTCAGCCCTGGGGAAACCGTGGGATCCTGCAGAGGTCTCAGCCCCTGGAGAAACTGCAGGATTCTCAGCCCTGGGGAAACCGTGGGATCCTGCAGAGGTCTCAGCCCCTGGAGAAACTGCAGGATTCTCAGCCCTGGGGAAACCGTGGGATCCTGCAGAGGTCTCAGCCCCGGGAAAACCGCAGGATCCCGCAGAGGTCTCAACCCCCAGGAAACCGCGGGATCCCACGGAGGTCTCAGCCCCTGGGGAAACCGCAGGATTCTCAGCCCTGGGGACACCGCTGGATCCCGCAGGGGTCTCAGCCCCAGGGAGAAACCGTGGGATCCACGGAGGTCTCAGCCCTGGGGACACCGCAGGATCCCGCGGAGGTCTCAGTCCCGGGAAAACTGCAAATTCCCGCGGCGGTCTCAGTCCCGGGAAAACGGCAGGATCCCGCCGAGGTCTCAGCCCCGGGAAAACCACAGGATTCTCAGCCCTGGGGACGCCTCGGAGGTCTCAGCCCCCGGGAAACTGTGGGATCCCGTGGAGGTCAGTTGGCCCTGCCAGCAGCCTCCAGATGTGGCTGCCACCCACACCCGGCCCTGTGGGAGGCAGGAGCCCACTTGGGACGACTCATGGCTCCATTCCTGGGCGTCCAAGCTCAGCCTGGGCTGGGCTGCAGTGAGCACCCCGACGGTGCAATGGGTCTAGATCCTTTACCACCCAGACCTCCCCCCCCACTTCTCACCAGAGCCCTGGGCACAGTGGTGGGCCTGCAGGGGTCATGCAGCCCGGCCTGGGCTGCTCTACCTGGGGTTCCAGGCCAGCCATGGGCTCCTTCTCCAGTCCCTCCACAAGTTGGCTATGTCCCACAAGTCCACCCCCCAGGCATTGCTCAGAGCGACAGTCAGACTACACAGCCTAGAAGAAGGTCAGGCAAGCAATCTGCTCAAGGCGAGAAGGAAGACAAGGGAGAGTTAAAAAACATTTTAACATTTTCAAGTAGGAAAAACTGGAGGGAGGGACAATTATGAAAAGAGCAGAGAAAGGAGCGTGAAGCAGAGCCTGCCGCGGCCTGACCCCTTTATGAGCAGGGAGCGTCCAGATGAGGAGGGAGGGGACTAGAAACAACGGAAACATGCAGCGAAGAGACGAGAAAGGCAAGTTAAGGTCACGGAGGAGGAAGGGGAAAACAAGCAGCAAAAGACGCACGTTCAGTTCATCCGGGTGAGTTGGGAGGACACAGCAACCAGGCGCTTACATTGAACATCGCGAGCAGGAGGCCCTGCTGATCTACCACCACACCCTAGAGGTAGAGGCTCTCAGAGGAGGCTGGCAGAGGCCAGGCTCAGAGAACCCGCGCCAGAGCGGCAGCTGGCCAGGCACTGGGCGGCCAGGTGCCCATGGCGGAGGGGCCCCTCTCCTCCTGTGGTCAATGGAAGCCCTGTTCAGAGGTAATGCGAGAATGGATAGGGACAGGACCCACAAAATCACATAAGAACACCCGTGAACAAGAGAAACACAATTGGGAAACAAATTATGAACAGTTTCTCATGAACCTATCATACAAAATGTCACTTAAATCGGCACTGAAAACAAAAAACACAAAATGACCCTTGTTTCTCAGAAGCTCCCGTTTCTTATCACATTCCTGAAAGATCCAAGGTCCACGGTGAAAACACAGAGCACTGAGAAGCATTCGCCAATGAACAGCAGGTACGTGAGAGATGGGAGGGGAGGAATGGAGGGAGTCCTGCGGTGACGGGTCGGGGGGGGCTGCTCATGGGCGTTACACACGGCGAGGCTGCTCATGGGCGTTACACACGGCGAGGCTGCTCATGGGCGTTACACACGGCGAGGCTGCTCATGGGCGTTACACACGGCGAGGCTGCTCATGGGCGTTACACACGGCGAGGCTGCTCATGGGCGTTACACACGGCGAGGCTGCTCATGGGCGTTACACACGGCGAGGCTGCTCATGGGCGTTACACACGGCGAGGCTGCTCATGGGCGTTACACACGGCGAGGCTGCTCATGGGCGTTACACACGGCGAGGCTGCTCATGGGCGTTACACACGGCGAGGCTGCTCATGGGCGTTACACACGGCGAGGCTGCTCATGGGCGTTACACACGGCGAGGCTGCTCATGGGCGTTACACACGGCGAGGCTGCTCATGGGCGTTACACACGGCGAGGCTGCTCATGGGCGTTACACACGGCGAGGCTGCTCATGGGCGTTACACACGGCGAGGCTGCTCATGGGCGTTACACACGGCGAGGCTGCTCATGGGCGTTACACACGGCGAGGCTGCTCATGGGCGTTACACACGGCGAGGCTGCTCATGGGCGTTACACACGGCGAGGCTGCTCATGGGCGTTACACACGGCGAGGCTGCTCATGGGCGTTACACACGGCGAGGCTGCTCATGGGCGTTACACACGGCGAGGCTGCTCATGGGCGTTACACACGGCGAGGCTGCTCATGGGCGTTACACACGGCGAGGCTGCTCATGGGCGTTACACACGGCGAGGCTGCTCATGGGCGTTACACACGGCGAGGCTGCTCATGGGCGTTACACACGGCGAGGCTGCTCATGGGCGTTACACACGGCGAGGCTGCTCATGGGCGTTACACACGGCGAGGCTGCTCATGGGCGTTACACACGGCGAGGCTGCTCATGGGCGTTACACACGGCGAGGCTGCTCATGGGCGTTACACACGGCGAGGCTGCTCATGGGCGTTACACACGGCGAGGCTGCTCATGGGCGTTACACACGGCGAGGCTGCTCATGGGCGTTAAACACGGCGAGGCTGCTCATGGGCGTTAAACACGGCGAGGCTGCTCATGGGCGTTACACACGGCGAGGCTGCTCATGGGCGTTACACACGGCGAGGCTGCTCATGGGTGTTAAACATGGCGAGGCTGCTCATGGGCGTTACACACGACGAGGCTGCTCATGGGCGTTACACACGGCGAGGCTGCTCATGGGCGTTAAACATGGCGAGGCTGCTCATGGGTGTTAAACACGACGAGGCTGCTCATGGGCGTTACACACGGCGAGGCTGCTCATGGGCGTTAAACATGGCGAGGCTGCTCATGGGCGTTAAACATGACGAGGCTGCTCATGGGCGTTACACACGACGAGGCTGCTCATGGGTGTTAAACATGGCGAGGCCGGTGCGGGCGAGTTGCAGGCTCACTACGGAGAATGGCTGCACGTCGCAAAAGGCTAGAAAAAGGACCGTGAATGCTTTTGCTGTAAAGGAATGGCAAGTGTCTGATCTGGAGAGACATACGACGGATTTAAACATCACATCATGGACATATGTATCAAAATACCACATAGTGCCCCAAATGTATACCACTTTTATGTGTATATTCCACCTAGCAAAGAAAATTTATGAAAAGAAAATCATTAAATGAATCCTGTAAACCTGCTTTAAAACAACTTAAAATAGTTGCAAAAATGATCAAATTCTGTTGCGTGGCAAAGGACGATCTGAAGCCAGCGACAGCCGTCCGCGGGACGGCTCACACTCAGAGATGCCGATTCTGTGAAAAGGGAGCTAGGCCTTCCAAAGAATTTCAATGAGAAAGTACAATCTGCTTTCTGAACCTGACATGCTCATCTGAAAACGACGGATAATTTTGAAGACTTGGTAGAGACAGAATTCGCTTTCCCACTGTGGAGACGCACAAAGCACCGGCACCTCTGACCTCCGCACGGAGCTCGGCCGACACAGAGCTGGCTGCGGGATGCCGGAGCCGCCTGCGGCTCACCCGCCTGCCCGCCGGGGCCGCCCAGGAAGGCTTCCAGCCTTCGGCATTGAGCGCCATCTTGAGCTGTGGAGGTGCACGTGGTCTCTCTGTAGGTAATGTCTGTGCACTCAGATGTGTCATACCTCAATAGAAAAGTACACATGATAAAACAAAACGAGGAAGTCGAGTGGAGCAAAAGGTGACCAGCCTGGCCCTCGAGGCCCTAACATGGAACCGAGAACCAACCCCAAATGCTAGACACAGACAGATACGTGTGGTAACGCGTGACATCCCTCCTTGGCGCAGCTGAGCCGAAGGCGCCGGCCTACCCCATCCAAACAGAGAGAGACAGCTCTCAGCCCAGCACATCTGCAGAACAGCAGTGGGTCCAGTACCCAGACTTCAGGGGGAACTCGGGGCAGACAGTTACGTGACATCATTGTAGAGAAACATACCACTGAACCCAAACCATGAACTGCAATGACAATCCTGAAAACTTGATGAGAGTCAGTTTCTAAAGTTCTATATAGTAAGACACCCTAAACCAATAAAAACACAGCGAAATCTTCAGTCTGCGTTATGTATGATACAGTGACCAAGGATTGGTATTGAATATATATATATATATATATAGCAATGTATTATATACACTTACATATATTTATGGATACTTGCAGGTAATGTCTACATTTGTGTAAAATACAGAGCATTTGTAATATCTATAATGTAACAGTAGTATAAATAGGAGTCATATTTATTTCATCATATATGTTAAAATAAAAGTGTATATTTGTAAAAAAAAAAAGCTAATACAAATACAAAGAACTTTTAGTATTCCATAATAAAAAGACAAAACTCCATATAGAGTTGAAGTGTTTGGACAGGCAGCTCACAGGGGACAGGGACACATCGAGTGGGCCCCTAACCACCACTGCTCAGCCGTGGCGGGTCCCAGCAAGCCCCTGACAGTGGTGGCCCCACTGTCAGTGATGTCCCCAGGATAAACTCCATGCTAGATGCAGCACGGGACACAGAGGCACACAGATGGAAGAGGGCTGTGCAGCAATCACGCGGTGTGACCCTCACCGTGTGAACAGAGTGGCCCCGGGGGCGATGGAGCAGACGGTCAAGCGGAGCCCAGCTGGCCCCGCGAGCCAGGGCGGCCCGGCCCTGAGCACGGCTTCTCCTGCTCCGGGAAGGCTCCTGCCACACCCCCTCCAGGCTTCTTGTCCACCTCCAAGCAAGACACGGCTGCGAGTTGTGAAGCCAGACCAGGGCATGGGCCACGGGCGATCGCCGTGCACCTGCAGCACTGACCACCACCAAGAGAACCTCCCAGCCAGCCCTCAAGGACCAGGCACATGCAGAGGCCCAGCTACCATGGGCGGATGAACACAAGGGCACGGGAAAAAGTGTTCCACGTCAACAACTCCTGCCACCGCACGCAGGAAGCGGGAGGCCTGGCGTGGAACCTGTCAGCTCAGGTTTCAACAAAGCCAGGGTGAAGCGGGGGAGGGGGAGAGGGAGGACCAGGCAAAGCAGCAAGAACCCACTCAGATATGGAACCAACGATGATGATGACAGGCCATTAAGGCCCCCATGGAAAAAGTGGACAGCCTGCAAACACAGATGTGTGACTTAAGCAAACAGAGGGAAACAATTTTTAACAAAAGGACCGTGACTGAAACGATAGAATCATCTAGAATGGAGACGTGTTGATTCAAACTCTCCAAACTGAAGACGCAATGAGAAAGAAATAGAACCGAATGGAACATAATATTCAGGAACTCTGGGGCATTGCCAAGGGGTAACCTGTGTACAGTACACCTCTGGAAGGAAGAGAAAGAGAAAAAGGCACAGGAGAAACACTGGCAATAATAATGGCTGAGCCTTCTCAGCATTGACACAGACCCCGGAGGCTCAGTGAGCACCCACAGCCACAGTACCCGCACATAGTGTATTCACACTACGGAAATCAGAGGAAAACATTAAAGTGCATTATTTTTATTATAATAAAGCCTTGCTACTTTCTCCCATTTTTTGTGATATTACAGGTGTGTGCCAACACGCCTCCACTCCACAGTGTTTAATGACGCTGCAGGACACAGCGGAGCTAGGGGTGGTGGCCGCCGCCCAGGAGGCCGGGCAGAAGGGCCAAGGCCAGGCCAGGCCAGCTCAGGCAGTCAGGGATGCCTACTTAGCAACAAGCCACATCGACAGGCTGGGAGGGTCGCTTAGGAGAGCGATCGCCCACCAAGCACAAGGCCCTGGGGTGGGTGCCCAGGGCCACAAAAATATTTTCAAAGCTAGAAACTGCCAGTGTTTAGTTTTGGGGAAGAAAAAGCAAAACTATGGCCACGCATGGCTGCTGTGTGCTGAGGAAGAGGGTCTCGTACACGTTATTTGACACTTGTACGTCCTGCTCCAAGTCCTGGCTAACCCATGCATGCAGATCATTTGTCACATGATTCTCCAGGGACACAGCCTCTCCTACCACAACCCAGTGCCGGGCGAGAAGGTAAATTCCCCAAGCTGCATCTAGCCTTTTGACTAACTCCTGTACCTCTCGGAGCTCTTATTAGTCAGGAGGTTTCGAATTATTCCTGTATAGATATTTGCTTTTGGAAGACTTGCAAAGGACTGCCTTAGAGAAAAGCTGTCTGCGTTTAAAGACACCGGTGGCTCTGAGGTGCGACGCTGTCTGGGAATGAGACCCCCAGTGGACCCCTCCCCACACAGACGCAGGAGAATGTGGAGGTCAAAGGGCAGGTGGCCACCACCCACAAACTGTGTCCAGCACATCTGCTCACCGGTGATTCGAGTAATGGTGAGCTATTTCAAAATGAGAGAACCATGCCAAATGGCTCACAGTCAGACACACGCTATATACAGAATGTGTGTTTGGATCGACTGTTGTCATATGCTGAATGTGTGTAGATCCAACTGTTGTCACATACTGAATGTGTATGTGGATATGTTGTCATATACTGAACGTGTACATGAACCCAACTGTCATATACTGAACGTGAATGGATCTGACTATTGCCATATTCTGAATGTGTGGATCTCACTGTTGTCATACACTGACAACTGTGTGTGGATCTGACTGCTGTCATACACTGACAACTGTGTGTGGATCTGACTGCTGTTATACACTGAAAACTGTGTGTGGATCTGACTGCTGTCATACACTGACAACTGTGTGTGGATCTGACTGCTGTCATACACTGACAACTGTGTGTGGATCTGACTGTTGCCATATTCTGAATGTGTGGATCTCACTGTTGTCATACACTGACAACTGTGTGTGGATCTGACTGCTGTTATACACTGACAACTGTGTGTGGATCTGACTGCTGTCATACACTGACAACTGTGTGTGGATCTGACTGTTGTCATGTACTGAATGTGTGTGTGGATCTGACTGCTGTCATACACTGACAACTGTGTGTGGATCTGACTGTTGTCATGTACTGAATGTGTGTGTGGATCTCACTGCTGTCATACACTGACAACTGTGTGTGGATCTGACTGCTGTCATACACTGACAACTGTGTGTGGATCTGACTGCTGTCATACACTGACAACTGTGTGTGGATCTGACTGCTGTCATACACTGACAACTGTGTGTGGATCTGACTGCTGTCATGTACTGAATGTGTGTGTGGATCTGACTGCTGTCATGTACTGACAACTGTGTGTGGATCTGACTGGACTCTGTGTCCCAGACAAAGCTGCAATGCACAAGGCTGGGCTGGGCCCACACCAGACATCTCTGATGAGAAAACCTTTTGCTGTTGTTTTACGTGTGAATTGGAAAGACATGTGCACTCATCAGATATCCATTTTTTTAAGCTGTTTGGCGATTCAAGGTTCCAGTTATCCACAAAAGCTCTCCTGCCAGACATCCTCCGCGTGTCCCATACTTACATCAGTAATAATCAGAAGAGCCTTTCATCAAGAGTGTGTGAGAGCCGTGGGTTCCACCATTGCTCAGCAGAGACCACCCCCCCCCCCCCCCCCGTGTGGGGAGCGCAGGCGCAGGGCGCCCCCCCCCCCCCCCCCGTGTGGGGACCGCAGGCGCAGGACGCCCCCCCTCCCCCTCCCCGCCCCCCCCACCCCGTGTGGGGAGCGCAGGCGCAGGACGCCCCCCTCCCATGTGGGGAGCGCAGGCGCAGGACGCCCCCCCCCGTGGGGGGAGCGCAGGCGCAAGACGCCCCCCCCCCCCCCCCGTGTGGGGAGCGCAGGCGCAGGACGCCCCCCCCCCTCCCCGCCCCCCCCCCCCCGTGTGGGGACCGCAGGAGCAGGACGCCCCCCCCTCCCCCTCCCCGCCCCCCCCGTGTGGGGAGCGCAGGCGCAGGACGCCCCCCCCCCCCGCCCCGTGTGGGGAGCGCAGGCGCAGGACGCCCCCCCCCCGTGTGGGGAGCGCAGGCGCAGGACGCCCCCCCCCCGTGTGGGGAGCGCAGGCGCAGGACGCCCCCCTCCCCCTCCCCGCCCCCCCCCCCCCGTGTGGGGAGCGCAGGCGCAGGCGCAGGACGCCCCCCCGTGTGGGGAGCGCAGGCGCAGGACGCCCCCCCCCCCGTGGGGACCGCAGGCGCAGGACGCCCCCCCTCCCCCTCCCCGCCCCCCCCACCCCGTGTGGGGAGCGCAGGCGCAGGACGCCCCCCCGTGTGGGGAGCGCAGGCGCAGGACGCCCCCCTCCCCCTCCCCGCCCCCCCCCCCCGTGTGGGGAGCGCAGGCGCAGGCGCAGGACGCCCCCCCGTGTGGGGAGCGCAGGCGCAGGACGCCCCCCTCCCCCTCCCCGCCCCCCCCCGTGTGGGGAGCGCAGGCGCAGGACGCCCCCCCCCGTGTGGGGAGCGCAGGCGCAGGACGGCTCCGAGACTGAAGGACCTGGGGCTTGGAAAGTTGAAACCAGTGGGGCTGGGAGAGGCTTAGAGACAGCGCCCTGACACCCCTCCGTCTCCAGCCATCTCCCAAGCGGACCTTGGAAATGGTGAAGAGGAGTTTCCCGGCCGCCAGGGCTCGCCTGGTCCATATGCCCAGCCTGGGTCCCTTGCCGGTGTGCGCGCCACGCGGGCCCTGGTCTAAATCCACACGCCGGTCTTCATCGGCCCTGATCCTCTGTGGTCAGCCAAGGAGTGGGAAGTCCGGCCAGCACAGAGCCAGCGCCCTGCCCTGCCGGTGGCGTCCAAGAGCTCATGGCGCAGCGCCGGCCTCCGGCCTCCGCCAGCGTGGACCCCTCCTCCCAGAGGTGTCTGAGCGCAGCTTCCTGCGCCGGCCTCCGGAGGGCAGGCTGCAGGGAGAGGCGGCTGTGCGCACCCTCACTCGCACTCGCCCCGCCGCCCCCCCAGGTGCTTCCAGCCTGAAGGAACAAACAACACTGCGAGCGAGCGTGCACTCCAGAGCAGACGGGCCTCAGAGGCCCGAGGCCCCGGCGGGGCGGCCGGTGCGCCCGCCTCGGGGGCGGCGAGGAACAGGAGGCCACCACCACCACCATCATCACCACCACCACCATCATCATCACCACCACCACCATCATCATCACCACCACCACCATCATCATCACCACCACCACCATCATCATCACCACCCGGCCCGTGCGGGGCCGCCCGGCCCACCCGGAGGAGTGCCCGGCTCCTCCTGCTGATCACGGAGTCCCAGCTGCCTGCAAGTTCACCTTATTTTCTTCAAGTGTGCAGCCTATTCAGTTCACAGATTAATCCAATTAGCATTTCATTGTGGCAACTAAACATGCCGCATATAAATTTACATGTCAAAATACACACTCTACGGCGAGCCTGGCGGCCAGCACGGGTCGGCAGCTTTGCGGGCAAAGCTCCGCACAACAGCTGCAGCGGGCGCGCGGCTCTCCTGCCTGCAGCTCCGTGAGCCGCGGGCGCACGCAGACATCGGGCCAGAGGCTATGGACACGGGAGCTGGGAGGCTGCCACGCCCGAGCTCCTCAGGTGACGGGAATCTGGCCTCGGCTCCAGGAAGTCCCCGTGCTCCAGTGTCAGGACTGTCAGGGCCGCCTTGGTCTAGACAGCAGGCGCAGATTAACGTGCAAGAAAGCACCTCAGAGGAAGGAGGAGGAGGGGGAAGGGAAGAAGGAGGAAGGGGAGGGGGGGAGGGAGGACAGGGGAGGAGGAGGGGAGAGGAGGAAGGGAAGGAGGAAGGAAGGAAGGAGGGGGAGGGGCAGGAAGGAGGAGGAGGAGGAGGAGGAGGAAGGAGAAATGTCCCGGGCCACCGTGAGCATCTCCTATCAACTGTGAGGAGTTCTGAAGAAGAGTGGATAACATGACCGGAGACAACCCGT